TCTTCCCTTGGGATCAAGTTGAGATAATTATCAAACGAAGTTCATGTCAAGATAGGATGATAATCAGAAGTTGTCCATCTCAGGGTCCTTTTGACGATTTTGATGTTGCACCTTCTTTTTGGTTTAGATGATGTTTTGAAGGAAATAATCTCCACTTGGGATCGAGTCAAGATAATTATGGAATGAAGTTCACATCAACATAGGATGGTGATTGGAAGAAGTTGTCCATCTGGGGTCCTTTTGGCGATTTTGATGTCCTTTTGGCGATTTCGATGTTGCGCTTTTTTGGTTGAGATGATGTTCCAAATGAAATGATCTCCACTTGAGATCAAGTCAAGATAATCATCAAATGAAGTTCACATCAAGATAGGATGGTGATCSGAAGTTGTCCATCTGGTGGGGTCCTTTTGGCRATTTTGATGTTGCGCTTGACTCATCATCATCTCATCCCGTTCCGAAAATCATTTCATTGTGTGATGTGAATCAAATGAGCTTCATTTTATCATTGTCTCAACATCATCTGAATAAATCGCCAAAYRGGGGTGGGAAATGGGAACRGAATCATTCCGATTTTCATCTGACTCATCATCATCTCATCCCRTTCCAAAAATCATTTCATTGCATGACGTGAAGCAGTAGAAGTAATAAGAACTTACTAGATAGCATAGAAATTCTCAAAACATACAATACCATATGACGGGGTATATGCATACRTACCTGCTCGCTTGTCATGGATGGATACCACTAGAAGGGATAAGAACTTCCTCTTCTTAGTTACAGGTAGTAGTAGTAGTAGTAGTAGTAGTAGTAGTAGTACCAGCAGTAAAAGTACTAGTACTACTAGTAGTACTAGTACCAAAACCACGAAGATGAATAAAAAAGTAGCGCGGCTTTGCTTCCTCCTTTTTGGTGTCAGTAATACATAGATTAAAAACATAAATTGAAGCGGGCAGAGAAGGAGAAGGTCCAAATCTGGAAGGGAAGAAATATTGACACCAGTTGATTT